ATCAATGAAAAGTTACTGAAGTAAACCTAAAGTCAAAATAGTTATATACAACATGGAATTGTTTTTACAAAACAATGCAACATACCTGTAAAGAAAATATTCCTCAATTAACTTTATTATTTCAAATTCAGGTGCTTGTTAAAAAAATGAGAGACTATTCTATCCCAACTGGTTGTACTGAACCAGAAATTTACCAAAAACTAAATTATCATAGTTTATATTTATGCTATTTTTTAAATTAGCAAAGTCAGTGGCTTATGTTTTATTCCTCTAATAATCATTAATTAAGTCTGGTATGTTCCTTGAGCAAATACCAAAAATCACAATTACCAGAGAGGTGTTGGGTTAAACTACAAAAGAACAATTAACTGAAAAAGAAAGTTAACTTCAGTTACTTGCACCAGGGTTATACATACTTTGGCCTGTTCTGCTTGTTTTTGAAGCTCCTCAGCCCGTTTTTCCAAGTCACCATTTTTCTTTTGTGCAGTTTTCAGCATCTCTTCCACGTCCAACAGATTCTGTTTAAGATCTTTGATGGTTGTATCATGTTTAGCAATCATCTCAGAATTATATTTTTCATGTTCTGCCTGCACATCTTTATACTGATTTTGGCTCTTCTCTAATTGCTTTTCCTGTCAGAATATAGAGCAATTTGAAAGTGATCAGAATCTAGTTTTGTAATATTCTCCCCCTGAAACCAGCTGTCATTTTCTATAATAGTTCTTACCAGGTCTACTAGTTTGTCCTGCATTTTTTTCAGTTCATTTTGATGATTCTTATCTGCTTCAAGCTGGTTCTGTTCAGCTTTCTTTGTTGTCTGCTCCATGCTTTCCTTCAGCTGAGCAGCCCTTTCATTTGCTTTTGTAAACTCAAGTTGTAATTCTTCTAGCTGCCTTTAAAAAGCCAAAAGAAAAAGTAAAATGACTTTCTGCCAACAGTATAAACTACAAATGAATGGTTCTCTCTAAATTACAGTATGCTTTGATTAAGCCTTTGGTACCATTCAGAAAAAGGATCATTTGATTCTGAACACATGCGGAACATTTTGTTAAATTACATCATAGCTAGCAAGATCAAACATTTTCTCATGCACATAGTATGCCATCATGGTTAATTTGGCCCCCTGAGTTCAGGGTTTTCTAAAGATAAGCTACAAATAAATGCTTGGATGAAATTTGTTTGAAACAAACACATACTGCATTTGCAGTGCTCATCTTACAAACACTGTCCAAGTGTATGACTCTTACAAATTAAATAGCATCTTTTGAGTACCCAAGCTGGACAAAAAAAAAAAAAAAAAAATCAAGCAAGATGAAATGAATGCAAAATGACATCTACTTTCATCAGTGTATGTAAGAGGTCATTTGATACATACATAGGAAATTGTAATAAGATTTTTTAAACCAGATGTCTTTTTAATCCACTACACAGAGTGCCATGACAAACTGAATTTGATGGCACAAATTCAGCTGTCATATCAATGTGAAAGACATTTGAATCAGGAAAGCTTTCACAGCTATTTACAAAAGCATAGAATAAATAGTGGGGAGGGATGAGGGTGGAGTTGCATTAAAACGCTCCAACAGCAATGAAATACCTCTCTTTTAACCGTAGCTCATCGTTCATCTTTGTAAGCTGAGACGAACTATCTCCTGAGGATTTCATGATCTCTGCTATGTCATTTTCAAGTTTGGCTTTAGCTTCAATCAACTGCTGCTCTTTTTCTTCCCTCTCCTTCAGTTTTTTCTCCATAACTGAACATAAAGAAACAGGTTTATACTCTAAGTTAACTCAGTATACAAGCCACAAACAACATGCTTAGAAGCTCACTAGAGACTGGAAACAGAGTAAACTTGTTTTGTAAATCTACCATGTTGAACATGTAAAATATTGTGCTTGGGTTTGGACTTAGAACAATAGTCTATGAAGTAATGATAAGGTGCACCACTCCCAGAGGAATGCAATATTGGACAAACACACAAAGGAAAAACAAATGATCAAGAATTCTGTTTTCTCCAGATGCTTCACTTAACTATTAGCAGGATTCTGCTGAAAGTTAATGAGGTTCTCCTAGAAGAGAATTCCAGCAGTACGTTTGGACGTACTTCCTTAAGTCAGAGATATGTACATCTAAAAGGGGAGAATACTGAACTAATTGTTTAAAAAAAACCAAACCCAATGAATGAGAGTTACTGAACAAAATGGTTCTTCTTGCATCCAGCCCAGATACCATCTCCAGGCAGGAGAGCAGAAAGGGGACCTTTGTAGGCTTGTAAGATCAATTTAGAACTTGTAGTATCATTCTACCTGCATTATAAGATAGAGCAAGCTGAAAGGCCATAAGGTTAGGAAGAACTTGACAACCAAACCAAGTAGTTGATACTGATGTCATGAATCACATCTTGACCCATCCATTACAAGAACGTGGTATGGGCACGACTTCTTTGTGACCTAAATTAATATTACACTTGAAGCAAGTTAGTCTTAATTTCCAGCTTTCACTGTGATACATTTCTACTATCATCCCACTTAAATGTATATTAATGGAGCAGCTGATCTAAGTGGGCATTTTTGTTGGTAAATGTTAATACTGAGAAATGCATAAAGCAAGGCTTTAGTTATCTGTCTGGAGCAGACTCAAGCAAACGGCAAGTAAAGCCAGAAAATAT